AAAACCCCAGTTCTATTAAGTTTTCCTTGTCATGTAAGCAATACTCTTATCACGAATAAATAGTGGCAATTGTAGACATAGAAAACTTAGAAGGAAGCATTGGATTTAATTGTTTATAACTGGAAATCGGAAGTTTTTTCCAGAGTACATCTTGTAGTACTAGTACTATTTCTGCATCTCTTAGACCAATAATTGTGCCTATGTTGGGATTAATTGTTGAGAGCCAAATTAAATTTGATTGATTAGACTAGGAAAGAAGGATTTTCTTATGCTAAGTAGGTGAAGGTTGTGTTTGTGAAACAAGTTAATGGATTTTGCATACTATTTAGCACATATGGGCTGAACATTCCCCCTTTTTGGCATCAATATATTAATGATAACACTATTTTGCTTCCATTTTTCTTGTATGTAGCATTAAATGATGCACTGAAAGAGGAGATTCAGCATTTGAAAGTACTGACTGGCCAAACTATTCCGAACGATGGACCAATGATGAACTTTCCTCCATCGTTTGGAGCCAACCAACAATTTTATCCCAACAATCATCCTATGCACACTCTCTTGACTGTCCAACAGTTTCAGCAACTCCAAATTCATCTCCAGAAGCAGCAGCTACAGAAGCAGCAGCTGCAGCAGCAGCAGCACCACCAGTTTTCACAGCATCAACTACACCAATTTCAGCAGCAACAACTTCGGCAGCAGCAACAGCAGCAGGAGCAGCACTCACAACAATTGCGTGCTTCAATGCATTCTCCAAGCCAGAAAGAGAACAGTTCAGATGTCAACCCTTCATCAAAGGATTAATTGCGGAATAGAAATGGGCGGATGTGGAAATGGGCGGATTTGTGGAGCTTGAAGGGGTCAGTTATTGTCCAAATCTTTGGTGTTCCGATTATGGTGTCAGATATGTCCATTTTCTGTCTGTTGTGTGTGTGACTAGATGCGTCTGTGTAACTATTTCGTAGGCAGTTTATATTTGGATTTATGTTCAGGATTTGAGATGTGGCGGTTGATCTATTTGTAGGAGTATTATGTTGGATTTAGTTCGTGGTTGAATTATGGGAGTGATTTCATTCATTTATTTTAGTCATGTAGCACATGTGTTGGCGAATATATTGGCGGTAGTCTTGTATTTAAAATTTTCAAAATGCTCTCTCTCTCTCCCACTCTCTATTGTTGGTTGTGTTTTTGGAATGTTGAAAGTGCTTATGTATGATTACTCGTGCTGTTAGTATTTGAAATTGCTTTTGCAGGAACTGTTTTTAGAAAGCAATTCATTAGAAGAGCCCTTTAATATGTTCTACTTATAGGAAGAATGTTGACTCTTAGCATCTGGTCTCTCCATATGAGGAATAGGATACTCTTTCATGAAAGTAGATGATTAATTGATTGTAAAAAGACTTACATCACCAAATCTTTATTTAAAACCCAAAACAGTGAGATCTTCAACTTAAATTGATTTGGCCATTTGTAGACTTCTGATTTTAGATTTTAATGTGTTACAATTTTATGCATTGAACTAAAGATATCTAGAATCTGCGCGAAAGCCAAATCCTCGACATCTTGCTTAGGGACAATTTTGGGATGTACTCTTAATTTGCCAAAACAGTGAAATGACATGGCACACTTGGCAAAACTCTTGGAAATTTTGTGAGTGGCAAACTTTTTAAGATTATACTATGCTAGTTTATGAAAAAACTACGTTTTTGGGAGAAAAAAAAAATTGTTCATTTACCATTCCCATTTCACAAATTTCTCCTGGTGTAAAAGCTCTGAAGTTATATTTGGATTTTGATTTGTAGTTGATCTGTGTAGTCCTACTTTCCATTCTTGGCAGCTTGGGTTGTGAGTAGCTCATAATCTGGGAACATTAACTCCAAATAATAAAGGTTTGTGTGCATTTCGTTGAGGAATCTCTTGACATGAATTCACAATGCAGCGACTACTCAATCAAATTATCTAAATGAGAAAAAGAAAGAATTACAATTTATATTAACTACAGGATATGGAGTTCTGCAGAGAAACCTCAACACAGGTTAATTTTTTTTTCCAATTAAATTGACTTTTATTTGTAATTGTATACATTGGGATACATTTTTATTTTGCGTGCAGTTAATCCAAGGAAACGGTCTACATGATGGAGTAGCCTGGGCCGCCACCACCTTCCGACACAGTCCATTCAATATTCTGCTTTGGGTCTTTGATATCACAAGCCTGAAAACACACAAAATACAAAGTAAATATAGTTAAAAACTCCGGAAATATAATTTCTGGCATGTGTACCACATCACATAGAGAAACAAGAAAACACGGAAAAATAGATTTGGATATCGTAAAAATATAATTCATCGGAAATATAATTTCTGGCATGTAACCACATCACATAGAGAAACAAGAAAACACGGAAAAATAGATTTGGATATCGTAAAAATATAATTCATTCAAGAGGTGGTTTACTTAGACAATAAATTGTTGAAATGGACTATCAATTAGCGCCTCTGAGAAAACCAAAGAGTCAAGAAGATCAAAATATGAAATAGGAATCAGAGGAAAGATCATTCAGAAAGTTAGAAAGGATAAATTTCAATACGTACTGGTCAATAGTTCCGAGCTCTGTAAAGTAATTCCCATATCCATGAATTTTTTAAGTTAGTATGTTTCCATATTTAAGCCTTCATGAAGTACACTAAATGCAACTTCTGCTGCTAGCATTCTTGTAAGAAAATAAGCTTTAGAAGTACTCCTTTATTTTCTAATAGCTTGATCACAAATTCCAACCATTCTATATGTTATTTCATTTTTTCTAATAGTTTATTTGGTGGGTTGCATGTAGTGGAGGTGGACTGTGGAGGAGTTGGGTGTGGCAGGGAATGGTGGGGAGGGGCAGGGGAGGGTGATTCTAACTCTCTATTCCTCTCACACCCGTCTGGGATATAAGTTATTTGGTTATGGAGTATGTATCAATGTAGGTATATATGTACACATTTTTTTGAACAAGAGGATGGGTGAGTTGTAGAGGGGTTGCCACTGGTGATGGAGGTGGCTTCTAGGAGGGAGGAAGACAGTGGAAGAAGAGGTATGTTCACAAAATTATCCAAGAAAGAGGGGTAAATTGACAAAATTATCCTTCTCTGTTGCGAAGATGGACAGATGGCATAGTACTGAGAAGTTTAGGGTTTAAGAATTTTTTTTGAAAAAAAAGGTTTAATTTGTTTTTGTTTTTTTGTTTTTTTTTTGAAGGGGGGGAAGGCAATTTACTGCAGATATATAACAATTTACTGCTGCAACAAAAAATCATCTGGCATACTTAATCTCATAGTAACTAAATCTTGAATGACTTTATCCTAGAATTTAGCAATTTACAACACCAAACAATCATAAAATAACATTGTTTTATATCAACTAGATACCAACTAGACATATCGTATGGTTTTCACATTAAAGATAAAGCACTACTTGAGATAATGTGAGTTATACTTGATTTCATGGCAGTATGTGTGCCCTTTATTTTTGGTACATTTAAGAAGCCAACTGAGCATCCAATAATTGCTCCACCTGGGAATACTGGATATGGAATAGATTGAAATTTAACTAGCATGATATTTATATTTGCATAACATCTAACAAACAATTAGTAATATTGTTAATAAGGGTGCATTATCCATGCAACAGAAGAATAAACTAAAATTTCCCAAAAGCATCATTTGCTGCCAGTGTACATATCAAGTCCAGTTTGAAGAATTGGTTAATGTCACACCCCAAGTAACCTACTGGCCAAACAACTTGAACGGAGTGGGTAACGGAAATTTTAAGTGTCCTGTTCAGTCACATAAACTACCATTCTTTTCAATTCAGACTACCCTTCTTTTCAATTCAGACTACCCAAATCAAAGCTAAGAACGTTCCAACACCAAAAAAATTGTTTTTGTTTCCGTTACCACAGCCACTAAAAGCAATCCTAAAAGAATTTAATCAATCAACTTCTCCAAGAGCCACCCAAGTTAACCTTGCTATGGTATATTTCAATCAAGAAATATATTTCAAACTTCATCAAGTATTTATTGATTATCCTATCAAAAATATAGATTATAATTAAGGATAGACTTTAGTGTTTAGGAACCTTAACTGTATTGGGACCCTTTTGGGGACCCATAAACTAGCTGCAAGAGGAATAGGAACTCCACACAAAAACCCTGTTAAACCTTCAACGTCGTTACCAGACATTGCAGGCTGCGCTGAGCACCTATTTCTAGTATATCATTCCACACCGAGAAGAGGGATGTGTACCTCTAACAACAAGAAGAATGGAGTATTATATTAGAAGTAGGCCCTACTAAGTAAAAGGCACAAGAATCAAAGACGAACCACGTATCCATCCGGGTTGCCCAGGCATTGGCATTGGGAGTCGAATCTTAGGAGAAAGGAAGTTGTGGTTATACAAGAGAAGTATGTTGCTCGATGCGATTTTTACATGGGTGATCAAGGGCACAGTGTCTCAGCCTCAAGCAGAGTACCATTATATGCATGAGAAGAATAATTACATGCATAGGTATCTGATTAGTGTAAATTAATTTCGCAAAACTGATTAGCAAAGATACATGAAGGCAATAGTTGAATTAAAAGCTCCAAACAGACTGCATATTAACAAGTGAATTGTTTAGTTAATAGCCCATAATAAATGGTACTGATTGCATATCTATCCATTTCCCAAGAAAAGCTTCAGTGATCAAGCTGCATGGATGTAGAGCACGAATAGTGTTGCAATTGAAAGAAGCATTTGAAATTTCTTTTAGACAAATATTCTTTATCTTTATGCACTCAAATTTCTCTTACATTTCTCCCACACATACAACTAGCTCTACAGTTACAACTGGCTTGTAAACATTTTTTAGGTTTAGGTACTCAAACCCACTATGTCCAATGCTACAACAACAACTTGCAATAAAAAATCATCCAGGAAGAAAATGGCTCATGCACTCAATGCTCTTGCAGCAACTATCGTCATCCACAACCAGTAGTCTAACAGGACCCAACTGTTTTTCTTTTTCTACTTTTTTTTTTGGGATCCGAACCCCAATCTTCAAAAGAAATAATTTTTAATAGAAAAATTGATCGAGACCAACATTGCTAATAAAATAAGGAATAAAGTTAACTTATCAAAAAATATATAAGAAGCACACTTAGCCTACTAGCAGTTTTTTAAGTGAGGTTAGGAATTCAAGTGCTAGATCTTGAGTTCCAGTTTTCTAGATTGTTATTCTAAATAACCACACTCACTCATCCACATAAACACATTACTGTTGTTGTTTGGTCCAGCAATTAGTTGTAGTAGCCTCAAGACTCGCCATATGGAACAAAAGAATTGTCTCATTGATCTAATATCATGATACGAACAGGACCTGATCATTTCCAATAACTAGCAAGGAAACAAAATAAAGCAAAACAATGTTCAATGTCTTACTTTGACAAATGAACCATGCATTTTCAGCTTTTCTAGGAGACTTTTCCTCAACTGACTAATCCCAATCTTAGCATCATCATCATCTGCGCAATCCTCTGCCGACTCATACCTACAAATTAAAAAATAAAGCCAAAAATAAATAAATAAAAATCAAAATCAAAAGACCCACAATTCAATAACCTTAGCCAATAATCTATACATAGACAAGGATATGGAACTATAATTTCCTATCCGAAGGGGTGAGAATGATAATAAATTTTTTTAGTAATTGATATAAACTATCATATTTCAATTCATGAATAAAAAATAAAGTAAGACATAATATTAAAGGAAAAATCTATGGTGTGCATCCCTAAAAATGGGCGCACTCTAAGAAATGTTACACTAATGCTTATGCCAGCTTCGCATCAAGCATTGATATCCGTTACAGACATTTTAACGCATCTATTTATGCCAAATACTATCAATCAAAGTTGTAACTGTCATCCCCAAATCCTGACATCATGAGTAAACAACACATCAAATTCCAAAACCAAAAACAAGGAATTTGATTTTCTTTTTCTTTACCGTCGACCCATTATCATAAACCTCAAAATTTGATAAACACAACAGGTAAACACAGTTAATCAAATTCAACAAACCCCAGCAAGGATGGCACTTTTTTTTGAAGGTTGGTTTACCCAACATAGCTCTTTTCCTCATCATCCAATCCTAGAAATTGCAGAGCTCTCCTTCCACCATCCACTGCAGTGACTATCAACACAGACAAAACAAACCCATTGACACATTTAGTCAAACACTTGATGTGCATGAAAATGGAAGCCAAAAAAATACGAATTTGCTTATTACCTTTACAAGAACATGAACATCATCATCATCGAAGACTTATCTTTCAAACGTTTCACGTCCGATCATTTAACAGGTTTCACTATAAAATCCTCTGCCCCTTCCTCCAAACACCTGTCATTTACAAATGAATATCAATATCAAAATTTTAAAATTATAATACATAATAGTTTGAAATTTTAAATATAAATTTACAAAAAAACAATGAGCTAAACATTATCAAACATAACTGGGTTCCTCTGCATTGCTCAATAGGTCTTGTACTTGCTCGTACTCAGATGAAACCGCGGCGTTTTGTACGAACTTAGAAGGTGAGGAGGCTTCGAAGGGTCTAGAAGGAGAGAGAAGAAATGAGGAACTTCGTAGTCGTCGCACGCTGCTCGATGACGTCGTCTGCCGTTCATAGTCGTCTGCCACCGCTCGCCGGAGAGAGAGAGGTGTAAGAAGAGATTAGGGATTTTTGGTTGAATGAGATTTTTGGTTCAAGAGATTAGGGATTTTGGTTGAAGAGATTGGGGGTTTTTAGTAACCCGAGCGGGAATGGAAAAAAAAAAAGGGCGGGAATGAAAAATAAAAATAATAAATAATAAATAATAAATAAAAAAATAAATTTATTTTTTGTTAAAATTTTATTTTCATCACAAATGAATATTTAAAAATTTTATTTTTTGTTAAAATAATTTTTTTTATAGTTAATGAAATTTTTTATTTTTTGTTTTCTTTTAGTTATTAAGGTTGAAAATTTATTTGTTTCATTTTTATTTAAATGAATAAAAAATTATTATTATTGTTATTTTCATTTTGAATAAAAAATATTTTCCATTAAAATAAAGTTAATTTTTTGTCATCAATGAAAAATATTTTTCTGCGACCCATTTTTTTGTTACTAAAAATCAAGAACTAATTTTTTGTGGTAAAGGATAAGGAGCAACAGTAGTGGTGAAGGTGGTGGATAAGAGGTGATAGTGGTGGTGGTGGTGGTGATAGCGAATGAGATTAGTGGTGAAGTTGTGGTAATCGTAAAGGAGATAGAGTAGCGGTGGTGGATGAGAGGTAATGGTAATAGTAATGGTGGTAGTGGAGTGGTGGTGATGGTGGTAGTAATGATAGTCATAGAGGCGGAGTGGCAACAGTGGTAGTAGTTGTGGTAGTGGAATGACATTTTGCAGTAGTGTTGAAGATGGTAGAGGAGATGAGTGGTGAGAGAGAAATGAGTGAGAGACAGATAGAGAAGAGAAATAGAGATAGAGACAGAGTGATGAGTGATAGAAAGACAAAGTGGTCACCAAAAGTGATTTTCTTCTAGTGTCTCGATAAATCGAAAGATAGCTTGGTAAATAGAGAAGAAGGGAATAAGCAAGGCGAACACAATGGGGAGGAGACAAATAGAGAGAAGAGTATTACGTGAAAGAGAGTGAGAGACAGAGAGACAGAGAAAGAGAGAGAGAGAGAGAGAGAGAGAGAGAGAGACAAAAAAAGAGAGAGAGACAGAAAGAGAGGAAGAAACAAGAGATAAGCGAGAGATAGACAAAAAGAGAGAGAAAGAGAACAAAAAGAGATGAACAAGAGAAAGACATAGAGAGAGAAGAAAAATGAGTGAGAGATAGATATATATAGAGATGAGCGAGACAGACATAGAAAGAAAAGAGATGAGAGAGAGAGAGAGAGAAGAGAGATGAGCGAGAGAGAGATAAAGAGAAGGGAGATGAGTGAGAGAGACAGAGAGAGAAAACAGATGAGAAAGATAGAGAGAAGAGAAATGAGCAAGAGACAAAGAGAAAAAGAAAGAGAGAGACAGAGACAGAGACAGACAGACATAGAAGAGTGATGAGTTAGAGAGAGAAAGAGAAGAGAGAGAGACAGAGACAGAGATAAAAAGATAGAGAGTGAGAGACAGAAAAAGAGACAGAGAGAGAAGAGAGATAGAAAGAGAAAGAAGATGGGAGAGATAGAGAGAAGAGAGATGAACGAAAGAGACAGAGAGAGAAAAGAGAAAGATGAGTGAGAGACATAGAGAGAGAAAGAGAGACAGATAGACAGACAGACAGACAGAGAAGAGTGATGAGTGAAAGAGAGAAAGAGAAAAGAGAGAGAGGAAGATGAAAAATTGGTGAAAAGAGACAGAGAGGGGGATAAGAAGAGATTATGGATTTTTGGTTTTGGGCGGGGGGGTTTGAGTTGGGGATTTTTTGTTTGGGTTGGGAGGTTACAGAATGGGAATGGAAAAAAAATGGGGGGAAATGGAAAAAAAATTGGGGGAAACATAGCGGGAAAGGAAAAAAAAAATTCGGTCACAAATGAAATTTAAACAACAAAACGTGGTTTAACCTTTTTTTTTTTGCGACAGGGGTTGCCGTCGCCAAAAAAAAATATTTTAAATTATTTTTTGTTAAAATAATTTTTTTTTTAGTTAATGAATTTTTTTAAGTATATATATATTTTTAGTTATAGATTGAAAATTTATTTGTTTTATTTTTATTTTAATGAAAAAAAAATATTATTATTTTTTATGAAAAAGTTACATTTTTTTGCGATGACAAGTTGTGCCGTCTCAAAAAGGCACATTTTTCGCGACAGCAAGTTGTACCGTCTCAAAAAGCACATTTTTTTTTTTGCAGCGGCAAGCTCTGCCGGCTCAAAAAGGCACATTTTTTGCGACAGCAAATTGTGTCGTCTCAAAAAGTCATATTTTTTGCGACGGTAAGTTATGCCGTCTCAAAAGGTCACATTTTTTGCGACAGCAAGTTGTGCCGTCTCAAAAAGTCATATTTTTTGCGATGGCAAATTGTGCCGTCTCAAAATGTCACATTTTTTGCGATGGCAAATGTGCCGTCGCAAAAAGTTCCGTCTCATAAGACCACTTTTCTTGTATTGTTATGATATATGTGATATTGATTATGAAACAAAGGGTGCTGGTCATGAGATGTGGTTATAACATATGTGGGTAAAGGTAATGAGATATATGATTAGTGATTATGAGATATGTGATTTTGGTTATGAGCAGAGTGGTATAGTTATAAGTCAAAGAGTGTTTGGTTATGAGATATGTGATTATTAGTTATAAGATATGTGATATTGGTTATGATCAAAGTGGATATGTGGTAATGGTTATGAGCAAAATGGTGTCAAAGGGTGCTTGGTTGTGCTATATGTGTTAGTGGTTGAATAAGATTATGTGGTAATGGTTATGAGCAAAGTGGTGTCAAAGGGTGTTTGGTTATGCTATATGTGTTAGTAGTTATGAGATATGTGAGTAATGGTTATGAGCAAAGTGGTATCAAAGGGTGTTTGGTTATGCTATATGTATTTGTGGTTATGAGATATGTGAGTAATGGTTATGAGCAAAGTGGTGTCAAAGAGTGTTTGGTTATGCTATATGTGTTAGTGGTTATGAGATATGTGGTAATGGTTATGAGCAAAGTGGTGTCAAAGGGTGTTTGGTTATACTATATGTGTTAGTGGGTTATGAGATATGTGGGTAATGGTTATGAGCAAAGTGGTGTCAAAGGGTGTTTTGGTATGCTATATGTGTTAGTGTTTATGAGATATGTGAGTAATAGTTTTGAGCAAGGTGGTGTCAAAGGTGTTTGGTTCATGCCATATGTCTTAGTGGCTATGAGATATGTGGGTAATGGTTATGAACAAAGTGTGTCAAAGGGTGTTTGGTTATGCTATATGTGTTTAGTGGTTATGAGATATGTTGGTAATGGTTACGAGCAAAGTGGTGTCAAGGGTATTTGGTTATGATATGTGTTTAGTGGTTATGAGATATGTGGTAAATAGTTATGAGAGCAAAGTGGTGTTAAAAGGTGTTTGTTTATGCTATATGTGTTAGTGGTTATGAGGATATGTGGGTAATGGTTATGACAGTGGTTACGAGATATGTGGGGTAATGGTTATGAGCAAAGTAGTGTCAAAAGGTGTTTGTTATGCTTAGTGTGGGTTATGGTATGAGATATGTGGGTAATGGTTATGAGTAAAGCGGTGTCAAAGGATGTTTGGGTTATGGCATATGTGTTAGTGGTTATGAGATATGTGGGTATGAGTTATGAGCAAAGTGGTGTCAAAGGGTGTTTTGGTTATGCTATACGTGTTAGTGGTTATGAGATATGTGGGTAATGGTTATGATGGTTATGAGATATGTGGGTAATGG